TGAACCCAGGAGGCGGAGCTTGCAGTGAGCCAAGATCGTGCCACTGCACTCCAGCCTGGGCGACTGAACGAGACTCCGTCTCAAAAAATAATAATAATAATACAAAAAAAAACTTGATGGGTGAATATTCTTGTAGGGGTACACATATGTGCACATATGCAAAAATATGTGAGGGCACCCCCAGAAGGTGGCTCTGTCTGGGAGAAAGTGGGGATTAGAGTCTGCCCCATAGTGACACATTCTGGTGACCTTAAGGGAGCCTTCTGCGTCTCGTGCCCTGGTTGCAAGGCAGCCTAGTATCACGGAGAATATGTGGGATCTGTAGTCAGAAAACCTGGGCTTAAGTTCTTAGCTGTAAGACTTTGAGAAAAAAAAAATATCTCTGGGCTTCAGTTTTTCATATATGTAAAATGGGACTGATGTTAGAGACAACATTAATGATAATAAGACCCATTTCCAGTGGTTGGGAATGAGAACGAAATAGGGTCCAGGGTGTAAATCAGTTTATCCTTCCTGGGCTTGTCAGGAGTACGTTGCACTTTGGGAGCGCGGAAGAAGAACCAGTCCTCATTCATTGGCCAGCCTCGGGCATCTGCCGTGTGTGGGGCCCTGGAATACAGAGACAAATGAGACAGGCCGATGCCTCCAGGACGATCATATAAAATCCTAAGCTCTTCAAGCTCACGACCCAGGCCTTACGTGGGTTTGCGGCCCTGGCAGCGTCGCCCGCTGTTCTGGAAACACACCAGGGATGCATGTTCATGGTGGTGACCACCAGGCAAGAGACAGGAGGTCAGCGGCAAGGACTCTGATGCAGTGGAGCAGCCTGGGGGGACAGTCAGGCCAAGGCAATAGCCGAGGGGTCACCTCTGTGCTTTCTCCTCATGGGATTAGATCTGGCTGCATATCCTGAGTCCCGGGGGCTATGGAGGGACGTTTCCCCCTCGTTCACCTGGGACTGAGCCTGGCCATTGCAGGCCAGTCCAGGCTTCAGGGAGAAGGGGTGCACTGGCAGTGCCAGCACCTATGGAAGGCTGAATAATGGCCCCAAAATATCAGGTCCTAGTTCCTAGAACCTGTGGATGTCACCTGATATGGTAATGTCTTGCAGGTGTGTTATTTCATTCCAGATCTTGAGATGGGGATGTTATCTTGGCTTACTTTGGATGAGCCCTGAATGTAATCACAGATGTCCTTGTAAGATGGAGGCAGGGAGAGATTTGGCACTAACAGAAGAGGTGAAGGCCACGGGACCACAGAGGCAGAGACTGGAGTGATGCCACCACAAGCCAAGGAGTGCTGGTGGCCACCAGAAGCTGGAAGAGGGAAGGAACGAAATCTCCCTGGGCCGGGCACGGTGGCTCATGCCTATAATCCCATCGCTTTGGGAGGCTGAGGCAGGTGGATCGCTTGAGGTCAGGAGTTCGAGACCAGCCTGGCCAACATGGGAAACCCTGTCTCTTCTAAAAATACAAAAAAAGTAGCTGAGTTGTGGCGGGTGCCTGTAATCCCAGATACTTGGGAGGCTGAGGCAGGAGAATCACTGGAACCCAAGAGGCAGAGGCTGCAGTGAGCCAAGATCATACCACTGCACTCCAGCCTGGGTGACACAGCGAGACTCTGTCTCAAAAAAATAAAAAAAATTTCCCTTAGAGGCTCCAGAGGAAGCATGGCCCTGGTAACACCTTGATTTCAGGCTCATTTGGACCTTCTGGCTTCTAGAGCTATGAGAAAATAAATTTCTGATGTGTTGAGATACCAAAATTATTGGTCATTTGTTACAGCAGGTGCAGGAAACTGACACAGCACCCATCCTCACAGGTCATTAATTCAACAATAACTTAACAGGCACCTGCGGTGTGCTGGGCACCATGTGGGGCCCAGGGAATGTAACAGTGACTAGGGCAGACAGGGCCTTGCCCGCCTGTGGCTGACAGTCTAGTTGGGGGTAGGGATGAGGGTGGACCTCGCCCACCTGCAGCGTGCCAGACACCATCTTCAGGGCTCTGTGTGTATTAACTGTGAAAGTTGTCTGAATCAAAATGGGGTCACCAGTGTTACCCAAAACCCTGACAAATGGAACCCGGGAAGGCCATGAAGAGAGGGTTTTCACGCTTGCATGCCCGATAACAAAAAAGACTGGAAAAACGACAGCTTTGCACAAAGGCCTTTGTAACCTTACACAAAAAGACTTCTGCCCGACGTCTGCCTGGCAGTAGCCGGTCCAGCCTCAGACTACAGTCACCCTTGTTATTGATCTATCTTTATAGCCAAGGATAATTATTAATACTTTAAACAATTATATAACCCTCCTTATTTTTTCCTTTAAAAATCTTTGTCTTCCTTTACCTCCCTGAATACACATAGTTTACTATGGCAGGCGGATTCCCATTGCAACACTCTACTCCCAAATAGCTTTTCCTTTTTTTTTTTTTTTTTTTTTGTTTGAGATGGAGTTTCACTCTTGTTGCCCAGGCTGGAGTGCACTGGTGCGATCTCGGCTCACTGCAACCTCCACCTCCCGGGTTCAAGCTATTCTCCTGCCTCAGCCTCCCGAGTAGCTGGGATTACAGGCATGTGCCACCACGCCTGGCTAATTTTGTAGTTTTAGTAAGGACGGGGTTTCTCCATGTTGGTCAGGCTGGTCTAGAACTCCCGACCTAGGTGATCTGCCTGCCTGGGCCACCCAAAGTGCTGGGATTACAGTTTTTATTTTGTTTTTTGGGTTGGTTTTTTTTGTTTTGTTTTGTTTTGTTTTGTTTTTGAGACAGGGTCTTGTTCTGTCACCCAGGCCTGGAGTACAGTGGTGTAGTCAGAGCCCACTGCATCCTCAAACTCCTGGGTTCAAGTGATCCTCATCAGCCTCCTAAGTAGCTGAGACTACAAGTGGACACCACTATGCTTGGCTAGTTAAAAAAAAAAAAAATCTTTTTGTAGAAACAGGGTCTCATTATGTTGCCCAAGCTGCTCTCAGACTCCTGGCCTCAGTGATCCTCCTGCCTCAGCCTCCCAAAGCACTGGGATTACAGGCGTGAGCCAACATGTATGGCCATCTTTTATTTTATTTTATTTTTAAATTTTATTTACTTTTTATTTTTGAGACAGAGTCTTGCTCTTGTCACCCAGGCTGGAGTCCAATGGCACGATCTCGGCTTGCTGCAGCCTCCATCTCCCAGGTTCAAGCAATTCTCCTGCCTCAGCCTCCCGAGTAACTGGGATTACAGGCATGCACCACCACACCTGGCTAATTTTTTTTGTATTTTTAGTAGAGACAGGGTTTCACCTTGTCAGCCAGGCTGGAATCAAGCTCCTGACCTCAGGTGATCCACCCGCCTCAGCCTCCCAAAGTGCTGGGATTACAGGCGTGAGCCACGGTGCCTGGCCCATCTCTTATTTTAGACAACTTTCTCTGTTTATTATTTAGGTTGAGATAATCAATCCTCACAACAGCCCTATGAGTTGTGGGGACTGTTATCACTACTTTATAGAGGTGGAAACTGAGGCACAAGACACTAGCTCCAAACCAAACCGCTGATAAATAGGAGAGCCAGTGTCTGAGCTGGAGCTTACCCTGTAAATCACTGTGCTGTGTCATCTTTCGTCAGATAAAAGCATGTAAGAGGCCGGGCGCGGTGGCTCACCGCTGTAATCCCAGCACTTTGGGAGGCCGAGGTGGGTAGATCACTTGAAGTCAGGAGTTTGAGACTAGCCTGGTCAACATAGTGAAACCCCATCTCTATTAAAAACACAAAAATTAGCCAGGCGAGGTAGCACATTTCTGTTGCCTCAAGCTACTTGGGAAGCTGAGGTGGGAAGATCACTTGAGCCTAGGAGGCAGAGGTTGCAGAAAGCCAAGACTGCACCACTCCCCTCCAGCCTGGGCAACAAAGTGAGAATCCATCTCAAAAAAAAAAAAAAAAGAATGTAAGACACACATAGGAATTGTAAAAAAGTGCCATCAAGGTAATACATGGTGGGTCAGGCATGCAGGGAAATGAACGTATCGGGTGGGTGGGAGGTGGAGGCTGTCACTGGGTGGTCAGAGAAAGGGAGGCCTCTGTGAAGAGGTGACGTTTGGGCTGAGGCCTGAAAAATGAGGTGCACCAGCCATGGGGAGGTGAGAAGGAAGGGACTAATGGGTAAGGAAGAGGCTTCAAGGTGGGAGTGAGCTCAGGGGGAATCAAGGAATATCAAGCAGGCACGGGGGAGGGTGAAGGGAGTGAGTGGAGGGCGTAGAGGATGAGGCTGGGGATGAGGCTGGGGCCCACTGAGATCTCAGTTTCATCCTCAGCAGAAGCGGTGGATGATTTCCACAGAGGAGTAAGGTGGGCTTACCTGCCAGTCTCATTTGCCCACCCAGGCATGTCAGAGCGGGAGCGGCAGGTGATGAAGAAGCTGAAGGAGGTGGTGGACAAACAACGCGATGAGATCCGTGCCAAAGACAGGGAGCTGGGCCTGAAAAATGAGGACGTCGAGGCTGTGAGTGACATACCCCTGACCTGTGTCCACCCTCCCGGCCAGTAGGTGCCAGCCAAAGACCAGACCCTCCACTCAGCAGGTCCCTTCTCTCCCTTGCTATCATTCTTAGGGCTCCGTGGGGTGTGGATCCTGCTCATGGCTTGGCGGGCCCAGCCTGGAAACAGCAAGACTTCGCTGGCAGAGCAGGAGGGAACGTGGCACTGCCCAGTGAGCAGGCTCCTCCCGCCTCCTGGGAAGGTCCTGAGGCCTTGGCAGCCTTAGCTCTGACCCCAAGGCCTCCTCCAGCCCCCCAGCTTCATGCCTCTCTGGGAGCAGACTTAGCAGCGTCCAGCATGCTCCAGGAACCCATACAGTGTTTCTGTGTAAATCAGAGAAAAATGCCCCTTTCTGAAGTCATGTTACTTCCATCTGTTGGGAAATGTTCATAATGTATTAATTCTAGCAAGACACGCTTCCATTTGCCATAAAATTGTCATAGTAAATACACAAATTGCCCATCTCTAGCATCATCAGTTATAAGAATATGAACAACTTTCAAACAAAGATGTCTGCAATATAAATGGCACACCTAAGGATGGTTTGCCATTGTGCAGTGCACAACCTGAGCTACTGCAGGTAGCAGCCCTGCACAATGGTTTCCCTTTTTGTACAGTTACAGCAGCAGCAGACACGGCTGATGAAGATCAACCATGACCTTCGGCACCGGGTCACGGTGGTGGAGGCCCAGGGGAAAGCCCTGATCGAACAGAAGGTGGAGCTGGAGGCAGACCTGCAGACCAAGGAGCAAGAGATGGGCAGTCTGCGAGCAGAGCTGGGGAAGTTGCGAGAGAGGCTGCAGGGGGAGCACAGCCAGAATGGGGAGGAGGAGCCTGAGGTGAGCAGGAAGCTGGGTGCAGAGGTGGTAGTGGAGGGTAAGTCTGGGAGTTGGCTCAAGGCAGGCAGGGTTGCCTTGTTTTCCCCTTTATACTTAAGAAAATGGCCAGCCTGGGCAACATAGCAAGACCCCAGTTCTCTACAAACATTTTTTTTTTAATTAGCCCGTGCGTGGTGGTGCACACCTGCAGTACCAGCTGCCTGAGAGGCTTAGGCAGGAAAATCACTTGAGCCCAGGAGTTCAAGGCTGCAGTGAGCCATGATTGCACCACTGCACTCCAGCCTGGGTAACAGAGCCAGACCTATCTCAAAAAAAGAAAAAAGAGAGAAAGAGAGAGAGAAAACGAGAGGCTCAGAGAGTCAAGCTACTGGCCTGAAGACACACAGCTGAGGGGCTGGAACCCCAGACTCTGCATTCTCCCACCTCAGTGGTGGTTATTAGGCACCTGCCATTTATTTATTTATTCATACCAATGATTTTTGACCATGTAGCCAGCCCAGAGGATAAAATAGCGAGCAAAATACAGACATGATCCCTGTCCACATGGAGCTTACAGTTTAGTGTGGAAGGCAGACATTAGTTAGTCCAGACCTTAGTACCACACGGTACCATGTGACCCAGCAATTCCACTCCTAGGCACATATCCAAAAGAATTGAGAACAGGTGTTCAAACTTTTACATGAAGGCCAGGTGCAGTCACCTGCACTTGTAATCGCAGCCCTTTGAGCGGCTGAGGCAAAGGGATCAAGAAGATCACTTGAGGCCAGGAGCTGAAGACTGGTCTGGGCAACATAGTGAGACCCCATCTCTACAAAAAATTCTTTAAAAATTAAAAACTTGGCTGGACACAGTGGCTCATGCCTGTAATCCCAGCACTTTGGGAGGTCGAGGTGGGTAGATCACAAAGGTCAGCAGTTCGAGACCAGCCTGGCCAATATGGTGAAACCCCATCTCTACTAAAAATACAAAAAAATTAGCCAGGCGTGGTGGCCCATGCCTATAGTCCCAGCTACTCGGGAGGCTGAGGCGGGAGAATTGCTTGAATCCGGGAGGCGGAGGTTGCAGTGAGCCGAGATCGCACCACTGCACTCCAGCCTGGGTGACAGAGCGAGACCCCGTCTCAAAAAAAAAAAAAAAACTTGGGCCGGGTGTGGTGGCTTACACCTGTAATCCCAGCACTTTGGGAGGCCAAGACGGGCAGATCACTTGAGGTCAGGAGTTTGAGACCAGCGTGGCCAACGTGGTGAAACCCCATATCTACTAAAAATACAAAAATTAGCTGGGTATGGTGGTGGGCATCTGTAATCCCAGCTACTTGGGAGGCTGAGGCAGGAGAATCGCTTGAACCTGGGAGGCGGAGGTTGCAGTGAGCTGAGATTGCGCCACTGCACTCCAGCCTGGGCAACAGAGTGAGTCAGACTCCATCTCAAAAAAAAGAAAAACTTAAGTGTGGTGGCACCTGTAGTTCCAGTTACTTGGGAGGATGAGGCAGGAGGATCACTTGATCCCAGGAGTTGGAGGCTGCAGTGAGCCATGATTGAGCCACTGCACTCCAGCCTGGGCAACAGAGTAAGACCCTGTAGCGCACTATTCACAGTTGCCAAAAGGTGGAAACAACGCACACGTCCATCAGCGGATGAATGGGTGAACAGTCTGTCCATACGGGGGGATACGATTCAGCCCTAAGGAAGAATGCAGCCCGGGCCACGCGGTAGCACGGATGAGCCGCGAAAACATCGTGCGGAGTGAAAGAAACCAGGCCCAAAAGGCCAGTGTGCGACTCCATTTGCATGAAATGTCCCAGAACAGGCAAATCCATAGAGCCAGAAAGTAGATGGGTGTCCGAATGGGGCTGGGGGAGGGTGGAATGGGGAGTGACACTGATGGGCATGGGGTTCCCTTTGGAGGTGATGGAAATGATCCGGAATTAGAGATTGGTGATGGTTGCACAACACTGCACGTTACTGTCCGCGTGGCCAGAGCTGTCCATCACAGCCACAGCTAACATCCAGGTAGGCCCAGGGCTGCGAGGTGTCTGATCCTTAAATGTGCCCCCAGACTGTGCCAGGAACACAGGGTGAGAGCCTTCATCGTAGCAGAGGTGGGGAGGTGGGGTTTCAGGGAAGAGCTGTTCCTGAAGCTGGGCGTCAGTGTTAACAACGCTAAGACTTTGACAGGTAGAAATGTGGAAAATGGAGATGCTGTTTCACACAAGTAGAGTGAACTTTAGGGACACACTCAGGCTTGTGGTTTCTCCCAGAAGATATTTATGAGCTATTGAAAGTTTGCAGATGTAGGCCGGGCGCGGTGGCTCATGCCTGTAATCCCAGCACTTTGGGAGGCTGAGGCAGGCGGATCATGAGGTCAGGTGATAGAGACCATCCTGACTAACACAGTGAAACCCCGTCTGTACTAAAAAATACAAAAAACTTAGCCGGGCATGGTGGCGGGCGCCTGTAGTCCCAGCTACTCGGGAGACTGAGGCAGGAGAATGGCGTGAACCCGGGAGGCGGAGCTTGCAGTGAGCCAAGATCACGCCACAGCACTCCAGCCTGGGCGACAGAGCAAAACTCCATCTCAAAAAAAGAAAAAAAAAGAAAGTTTGCAGACCCTGCGCTAGTAACCTGAGTTATAGGTAGGGGAGGTAGGACAGACAAGCTCACAGTCAGGTGGGTTCAAGTCCCAGTACAGTCATTAAGTATCCTGCCAGGTTTGCTGTAGGACAGGACAGGCATCTGGGATATACATGAGGAAGGTCAGGGAGAGAAGTCTTAAAAGGGAGTAGTTGCCAGGCATGATGGCTCACACCTGTAATCCCAGCACTTTGAGAGGCTGAGGTGGGTGGATCACTTGAGCCCTGGAGTTCGAGACCAGCCTGGCCAACGTGGTGAAACCCCATCTCTACTAAAAATACAAAAATTAGCCGGGTGTGGTGGTGCGTGCCTGTAGTCCCAACTACTTTGGGGAGCTGGGACAAGAGAATTGCTTGAACCCGGGATGTGGAGGTTGTGGTGAGCTGAGATCAAGCCACTGCACTCCAGCCTGGGCGACGGGTGAGACTCTGTCTCAAAAAAAAAAAAAAA